GTTCATCCAAGAAGGTGTCTGGAGCTCTGTGCCATCATGGCTAGACTTCATCTGGTGCACAAGTCAGTTCATTTAAATCTAGTTCAGGCATCTCTATACTGTACTCTGGTCTGCAGTGCAAATACACCCTTTGTGTTTCAAGTCATGAGGCCCTGGAGGGAGAAACTTGAATCCAAGTGCCCTCATGGTGGTACTCGGGGGAAGGATTTGCTTAAATTATTGGGATTTTAGATGCCTTACTAGATTAGCCCTGGCCTTGTGGGACTACAGCAGCTGGATAATGAGGCCCCATTTCTGTGAAAGGATAATTGTCTGTGCTTATTGTGCCTGGGAGACCAAAGGAGAGACTGCCAGAGCCATGAGGCTAAGTGGGGCATAAAAACATGTGAACCCATTGTGCCAGATGCAAACCCAACAGCCTGGTGAGTGTTCATAGAGGGGCAGTTTGACCTGGATGGTGACATGGCTATTCTGTTTTATAGGCTTGTCATATCTCACAATCTAAAAACTCAGAAAAAAATGGTAGTTGCAGCAGAAAGACATAGCTGGTGAACACCGATCAGCAGAATTTTCATGGTGCTGGTACTGAATTAGTGCCATAGGGCACTATGGTGGTGTTTGAGGTGAAACCTTTTCAGTGAAAGGAAAATATGAGGCTTTGACCATCTGGCAGTATTGACCAATTCCTGCCTATTGAAATTTTTCCTGCAGGTTCAACTATGTATTTTCCTGTGTGATCTACTGGTATGATTTCCTGTATGCTATGTTCTATCCTGGAAGGTTAGACAGAGCCAGTACAGTATATACTAGTTTGTATGTCATGATATAATTGCAAAGCCCTAGGAAATGGAAGCAGCTGAAATAATGCAAGGTTATTTTTTTTTAATGTAAAAAAAACAGGTAATGGTAGGAATCTGGAATATTTTAAAATAAACCATATATTACAGGGCTTATTTAAACAGTGGTGTTGAATGCTCTAAACCTCCTTTCTCGGTACCTTTTAAACACCGAGGATTTGTTTGTGATTTAGTCTGTTTGCACTATGTAATATTAAACAGTCTGTATTTGATGTAACCATATTTTCTTGTAACCATATTTTCTTGTAATTTCAGAGACTAATGTAGAGCGAACATTGCTGAAAAATGCTGTCCAAATAATCTCTGCAGTCCTCCAAGTGCACCATCAGAATGGGGAGGTGGTTGAGTCAGCTTGCTCTGCCCTCTGGGTACTGTCACTTCATGGTGAGCTTTGCCATTTTTGCAGAAGCACACACTGCAGATACTTTACTGTTCATTATAATGAATGTTAGGGATGACTCAGTTCTCCAAGTTAATACTATACAACCCGCTGTACCTTAGCTGGCTCTACAGATAGCAACACAGTTAAAATTATAACTCCTAACTTTACATGCCCTAGCTTTTCTCTTTCTAATGAAGTTTAATGCATTTTTAATACTACTTAGCTAGTTTAACTAAATTAACTATTGAATACTGTGGTTTTGAGTATGATAGAACCTATATAGAACAAAATTTTACCTCTATGTTTGTTTTTCTAATGATGGAAGAATTCTATTTTTGCTATAGCTCCATCTATGTAAACCCCTGCAAATACTGCATTAGTGCTGTGGAATGCATTGCAGGGAAAAAAGCTATTGTTAATATGTGCTAACCACACCTTGGGAAGGAAGTTTCAAGTTATAAAGAAAAATATCTTCTCGCTGTCACTATGTATATACCTTTGGAGGGCCATTGTCGGAATACGAACCCTGCACTCATGCTCCCCTGGAGATGCTGCCTGGATTAAATCAGCCTTGCTGCGTTCTTCTCCTACCGTTGTCTGTTCATGCTTATACAGGAGCCCTACCCATTTTCCATTTCTTGCACCATTAAAGCCCAGTGTCTGCCCATCATCCTTCTAGCCCAAGTTAAAACAATGCCTAAGCAATGCACACACTCCTCTTCTCCCCAAGCACCTACAAATAGAGTATGTGAAGCTTTTCCAGCTCGCCACTCCTGCTGGTTCATGAAGTGAAAGGCTGAGATGAGAAACTGAACCTAGATCCTCACAGAGTAGATGCTTCAGAACAGTCTGAAGTCCTTGGACCATTCATGATGCTTGGACTTTCTATTAGTTTATATTAAAGTACAGTAGGCTTGCCAGAGTTTATGTTTGTTGTTGGGGTATAGTAAAGGAATCCTTTTAGAAGCATGAGGCCAAAGCAGAAAAGAGTCATGGATATTTTTCTCCTCTTCAGGTTGCTTAACTGAAAATGAATATGAACCGACAACTGCGCTTCTGCTGGATGCTCTCAGGATGAACCTGGAACGCCCTGTGCTGGTGAAGAACGCCTGTCTGGCATTAGCAAGCCTTCTAAGGATGTCTGGTAAGACTTAAGGAAGCTTTATTTTTAACCACAGCAGGTGGCATCAGCGACAGAGATCACTGAATAGATTGAGGGTTCCTATTAGGGTTGGGAGTTGCATCTGTCCTCCTGGAGCAGTCTTTTCTTTCCAACTCTGTGAGGAAAGCAGTCAGACAGAAAGACTGCATTCATTACCTGTTTATTCTCAAGAACAAGACACATGGGCTGCTTGCAGATGTGAAAAAAATGTGCTTTAAACTTGGTGCACTCCTGCGCCAAACCCAGCATATGCCCAGAAGAGGCAGTGCAATAGTTTGACCCAGCTCTGCAGCATCTGTATAGATCAAGTGCTTTAGCGGGGCTTTTTTGGCATTTCTATCTAATAGATGATTGACTCAGCTTTAGATGAAAGCACCAAAAAGCCTCACTGAAGCGCCCAATCTTTACAGATGCTGCAGAATCAGGTCAAACTAACGTGTTGCTTCTTCTGGTAAAGCACTTTTTACATGTCTATAAGGAGCCATGAGTGTTTGAAGGAACTGGTAGATGGATCAGTAAGGGGATGAGGGACAGTATTATAAATTTTTGAAGTGCTTAAACTATTTCCTTCCCTCTGTTAATCACAATGGGTTTGTATCTAGTGTATAAAAAAATAAAGTGCTAAAGGTGAATAATAAATGATCAAAGAACTTGGGACACACAAAGAGCAGTTTTGTCCTCCTGTACAATGTCAGTTGCTTGTTCAGTCTTTTATTCACCATCTGATGGTGCTTCAAAATAGCTTTTCAGTGCGCAGACAGAACAGGCACCATTGGGCTAGGACTTTCAGATGTTCACTTACAAGGAGAATGTTATTGGCATGTTAGCTATGTTGTTGTTAAGGTCATCTGTGCTTCCTACTCAGACTGGAAGGAAAAACAAAATTGTTAGGAAAACAAATAGCAAAGTTCAGAGATGCTAGTAGCACTTGTCTCTCTCTTTCTTCCAGAGTTAGCTGCTTTCAGATTTGTAATAACAGATTCAAAGGGTAGTGGAATAATTCTGATCAAAGATGCCTACCACTTTCACTATGATGATCCAGAAGTGGTGGAAAATATATGCCTGCTGATAAATGAGATGGTTCAGTATGGTAAGGCATTGATGATTTTACTCTTCTCTGGCCAGTCATTTTTGTTCCACAGTGCATAAAATGATTAAGGCAACAGAGAAAACCTCTGCACTGCAGATGAGCTCGGGAGCAGTGACTGGGAAATTATAGTTTGCTGATTCCAGGGAGAATATTGGGTAAAAAGCAATCCTCTGTTGTAGGAAACCTGAAATAGGTTTTCAAATTCAGGTTAAGTAATATTGCAAAAGTATAGTAACGCCATATCTGGGCTGTAGGAATAGCTTTTGTCCAGGTCATTCACCACAGTTGTACACACAGTAGAGCTGGACAATTTTTAAGTGCTGGAATACAAAAGTCTAGATCCTATATAAAACCTTTCTCCTTCTCTCCAAATTGAATTGCCTTGTTCCTTTTCATCACAGATCACATAATGCCGGAGATGATCTCCCAGAACATGGAAGAGATGCTGACTGAAATGAAAATGAAGTATACATCCAGTATGGTATGTGTTACAATACAAGACATATTTTGTTGTAACAAGGGTGCATCCTCAATCTGCCCTTTGTACAAATGGTCCTATTTCCTGGCTCTGGACTGCCTAGAGTCATTCATTTCACCCAGAGGAAGATGAAGTGCAAAATTTTATCAGGTTCGAGGGCTAAGTATGGACTGTCAGCGTGAAGGATTGTTTCAGAGGGATGCTGTCTCTCTGAATATTTGTACTCATACCCAAAAATTAGAAAGTGGAAACCACGGCTTTTCCAACAAACTTCATGCTTTAATTGCTCTCACATCAGGTGAGGTTTGACTTTAGACAAGTTTCACCCAGCATTAATCTGAATATATTTATTAAATATTTAATATAAAAATAGACTAAAATATAAGGTATAAGTACACTACAGAGCAGACGGGGTGGGGATTGTCAATCTATTGTCTCATTCATTAAAAACGCGCTGTTGTGTGAGCTTGGTTTCCTGAAGCATTCTTTCAGTACATTCAAATAGCAACTATATTGCAAAATAAATTACCAATTGTTTCAACAAGAGCTACATATGGGCTTCAGTTAAAATGTTAATATTGCTATTTCCTCCCTAAAGATTTCTTACTACATATCCACACTTCAAATTTTTTTTTAGATAAAATAGTAAAAACCAACATAGCCCCTGGCCCTACGATGTTTGTAGATGTAATTTTCTTTCTTCTTTTCCTGGAATGTTTGCTGGACAGGCTAGTCACCACATTTATAAAGTCACTTCTCTTTAGTTTCACCAGTAATTATTGCTCTTCCTGACTAGCAAATTAATTACAAAAGTAAGGACTACAAAGTTAGTTTTCATGTTTGCTTATAGAATTTATGGTTCTAGTGCCCACAGTAATTTTATAGGGATGGACAATCCAGGCTCTTATAAGTGTATATCAGGGATGGGGAACCTCCGGGCCACCGGTTGGTTGGGGACTCCATTTCCCAGCCACCCCTGCTGAA